TATTAGTAATAATAAATTTAAGTAGATGATATATTTTAATTTTATAAAATCACTAATTACTTAAATTTCGTAACTAAGGAAGAAATATTATAAAATATTAACTTTTTATAATATTAATTTTTTATATTTTATTACTAAAGTTAAAATTAATATAATTGTCATAATATCATATATTATCATAATTGAAATAACAGACATAAAATAATAGAATTAACCCTCAAAGAACAGTTTTTATTAAACATTTAAAAGTTTACATGCATTGAACTCTCATGTACTTTTTCGATGTAAATTAAAAAATTGCATTCTTATAGTATTGTAAAAAATTTTAACCATGTTATATGGTTTTATTTATTTACCATTTATTAATAATTATTAAAAATATACTTATTTATATATAAATATAATATATTATTCACATAAAAATAAAATATAATTATAATCATGCCTAATAATTATTTCATATTAAATATTTATAATTAAAAAAAAATCAACGAAATATGATCGAATTGAAATATTCTTGCAGTTTAATGCTTTTTTCTTGCTTTCTTACATTGCTAGGAAGAAAGTATCAAAAAAAAATTTTTTATCGTAACTTTATATAAAATCCTGTTAGTCCACTGAATCGCTCAGAATTATGATAGGTACACTTTTTAACAAAATATTTTACATAAATTCCATAAACGTGAACCAATAAATTTCAATAAGACCAAAATTCAAAGAATATCATTCCCAATTATAAAGTTTGTTTTAATACAAGAACTAATAATTAGAATATATGAAACTTGCTAAATAACACAATGATGAAATCAATTTATAAATAATTCTAAATCGAAAATAAAGTAAAATAAAATAAAACGAATAAAACGTTAAATAAAACTAAATAATTATAATAAATTATATTATAACGATCGAAGTATTAAATTATTTATTCATATTAATATATTACATCTAATGCAAACATTGTTATTATGATATTAACTTAGAAATCTTACCTAAGATAATTTTTTTCGCTGATATTTATTTAGTATTAAATTTAATACACAATAAATACATCAATATATATAATCAAAAATAAAAAATTTAATAAAAAATAACAAATTTTAATATAATATATTTGTTCGATTTTAAAGGTTTAGTTTATGGCTCGAACTACCAATTCAATAGTTCAGTGGATTAGTCTCTCAGCAGGATAACTTCAAAGGAAACAATAACAGACAAGGCTGAAAAATATAATATATTTATTAAAACAAGATTAATGATTGTAAAACAATTATAATAATATTGCACTGTTGTGTCGAGATAAATAATTCTATTGAAGTGTCAATTGATGTGTTCTTGTATTCTTAAATTATTGTATCAGAAGTAATGCTGATGTTGTAAATATCAGCTGGTATAGTCAGTCAATCATGCTTGTGATGTAGCATGAGAAGATGGTAGTTGAATCAAGTATGTTTGATATATGGAATAACTATACTTGAAATGATGTAAGATGTTTAATGGAATTTATTAAGTAATCAATTGTGTCTTTAATTATGTAAAGGGACAGCAAAAGAATCTAGTCACAGGTAAAAACAATTAATGGTAAGATTTCTAATTCGTGAAGGATTTAATAATCTGTATTTATGTAGTCTATTAGTCGATCTGTTGTTGTCCTTCTTTGACAATGTGTGTGAACCACAGTGGCTCTTGCGTCAGCTGTTCAGGGCCTGTACGATGTCGAGGGTTAGTTCGAGAGAGCGTAAGTGTGCCCGATCGACTATAGCGCGAGATGTGACTTGTTTATTTATTAATATGAAGGTGTACCTGGTGAACTGCAGGCTAAGTGTATTAGATGCTGTGTAGTTGATGTCCCCCTTGATTACTATTCCATTGGCTTCACTGTAATCACTAATTAAAACTGCCGATTTCCTTTTCTTATGCACGCGTGTAGTCTTTACTATGATCTAATCTGCAGATTTCTTATTCATATGCACGCGCGTAATTTTAACTATGATGCGTCGTCTTCGCAGTACACTATACACTGAGCGGCAGTTACGATTGAGTGAGCGCGAAGTGATCTTACAAATGAGCGTATGAGCCTTTTGAATACGCGCACGAACCGAAGGCTTGATCGTTCCGTGGCGGCTCTGCTGAAAATACCGACCGTTCCATGGCGGTCCTGCTGAGGGTAGATCGAGACCCGTGTGCCATGGCTTCTACTGGTAGATGATTAAATCGGTTCACTATGGTCGGTCACTGCGGTCGGTTTACGGCAAGATGTTAGCCGCAAGCGCAGTTGAGCGAGGGTGGTTCGGCAAGAGATGATTTTCAGCAAGAGTTATAATATTCATAATATAATGGTGGAATTTTATAAGATTTGTAAATAAAGAAAGAATAGTTGAAATTTTTATGAATTACAAATATATTTTCACATAAAATAAATTACTTTTATTACAAATCATTCATAGCCATCTATAATTTATTAATTATAAGTAAAAATGTATAATTTTAAGCTAAATAAAATAATCGAATAATGTCAGAAAAAATTGTTTACGGAGACAATGGAATTTCTTTATTAAATCATAACCTTATAACTTGTTCGAGATTGACGCAGTTTCCATGAATTTAAGAAAAAGTGGGTCATACGCGCTTTACGACGCACAGCACGCGCGCTCGGACCAGTACGCGCACTCGGGCAAATGTTTATAAACAAAACTGAATAATATCGCCCGGAAGTCTCTAAAGTTATTATGTCCTTTTTCTTCTTTCATCGAATTCTCGAAACATCTAGCTTTTTCTTTGTGCCAGGCAGCAACGATGATGGTTTGTTGGATAAGGGCAGCAACGATGATGGTTTGTTGCCAGCTAAGTGAGCCGCCGCGTGGATATATAAGACAAGCACACGACGTGCCTCGCTCTCTTGCTAAACATCTCTTGCAGAACCACCCTCGCCGAACTGCGATTGCAGCTAACATTTTGCCGTGACCCTACCAGTAGAGTCCCCTTCTATCAGTAGACGCCATAGCACACGGGTCTCGGTCTGCCCTCAGCAGGATCGCCATGGAATGGTCGGTATTTTCAGCAGAGTCGCCATGGAACGATTCGGCTTCGTGCGCGTATTCAAAAGGCTTATAGGCTCATTGTAATTCTATTTCGCGTTCACTTAACTGTAATTACAGCTCAGCGTTTTAATATATTGTGACGACGACACGTGGCTATAAATTCGGCAGCCTAGTTGTTCGAGAATGTAAGAAAACTCCCAGATCATTAAACATCTGGAAAATTCGAGATAAGAGTTCCGAAAAAGGCGAACTCTCGACTACTCGAGAAATAACATTCTCGCGACAAAACGCGCCTCGGATTAACTAAATCTAAACAATTCAGCAAAACTTCGAATATCTAAAGAAAATACAATTCATAAATACATCTGGCGAGAACAAAGTTCCAAGTGTCCAGCAAAACATGTCATAAAACTAATGCTACGAGACATTTGACACGGCCTCGCCACAAAACATCTATCGACGACAAGTCATAATACTTCTGGCATAATCAAGTAATAAAAATATAAGCAAAAACCACCTCGTCTTACATCCGAAACAAGGGATATTAAAGGCAACACTGCACGCATAAGCTGTTGTCAAACCCAGCTACATGTGGCTCGGATAGTGAAGCGAGAACGCGCCAAAGAAGTCCCCCTCATGGTGGGGATACAAGTAAGAAGCGCTCTGATTGGAAATGCCAAGGAGGCAATTCGTAAAGACCACGCGGTGGCCGAGAATGCTTTTAAGAAAGACGCCGACAAGGTAAATTCTTAAGGGCCATGCGGTGGCCGAGAAAATGCCTTCAAGAAAGACGCCAGCAAGGCACACCACAAGTGTCTCTTGTCACCAGAGAAGCCGGCAAGGCTGCTTCTCCAAGGAAACGCCAATAACAAGAATGTAGGCATACACAGTAAAGGCCAAGAATTAAGAGGCAAAGGATAGTCATATCCAACTCATAAGTTACTATATCCAACTCATAACAAGTGCAAGATAAGTGCAAATCAAATCATACACTCGCAGCAGTGCAAGATAAGGAAAACGGAACAAGTAAACAGTGGTGCACAGAACACAACATAATCATAACCTATAAGGTGCCGCTCGAGGCAAATTCAGCAAACCATACGAGGTATAGCCAGAAAAACACAAAACATAAACTACAAGCTGCCGCACGAGGCACAACCTGCAGACATCACTAGCTGCGATCAAGAGCACAAAATCTGCAGAACTCACAAGGTAAAGAACTTTAGAGCGACCAAGCTCACATAATATGCAAACGCAAAAAGGGCAAGTTTAGTTCCCACAAGATAGACTTACGAGTCGCCGTACGCGGCAATATCTGCAGACTCAAGATGAGCCTTCAAGGTAAGCAATAAGACAATAACAATGCAAACTCAAGCTACTGCCACGTGCCACTACACAAGGAAGCGCGGGGGTTTACGACGTTGTTCTTCTACGTGTATAACTCTACCACCACGTGCATTACATATAGAGGACCAGAAGGTTACTACACCCTTCTACCTGTACATGAAACGCACATTATAGTTCTATGGCAATAGCAATACAAAACTTAAGAAACAAAGGCATTCAATCATACACTAAAAATCATTAGAATACAAATAATGCAATTATCGCAATAAACTGCAACAAATACCAAATCTATTTATTATTGAATACATGCACTATCCTGTCCACTTGTTCGCAATCCTCCCTTCCACCATCTGGGAGTTTACACCTAACTGTAGATATTTGGCCCTCCTAACCCGGTACTCTATTTTTAGACACTAGTAAATAATATACGTGTGCATTATTAACAAATAATAAACATTGTTTTACTGAATACACCATATTTTTCAGCCTTGTCACTTATTATTTCCTTTAAAGTTATCCTGACTAGAGACTAATCCACTGAACTATTGAATTGGTAGTTCGAGCCATAAACTAAGCCTTTAAAATCGAACATAACTAAAAAATAAAATGTACCTTGATCTCCAAAGGATCTTCTGAATTCCTGAACATTGTAACCAGCCTCACTTATCTGCTTGTCTTGATTAAAGCAGTTGAATCTACCTCTGGGGCTCTTGTTAAAGCCGGCAACTGTTCCGATGCTACCGCAAGGACTTCTCCTTGTAGAGTCTATGTTGAGACTACAGATGGAACCCTGGCAACTATCCTGATATAGATTGCCCTTGCCTATGCTGCTACGTGGTGACCTGTTGCTCTGCATTTCGTGCATCTCTATAGATTCAAGAGAGATGCGATCGTTTGCGTCAAACGCGATAGCACAGGATGAGCGATTCGGCATCTTCGTCATGGTCGAATTATATGGACTCTGATTTAAATAGTCCGATACGTTGAATCCTCGTATAGTTCTCCCCTGTAAATATTTAAACTATTATTTAAACTTTTAAATGTTTGAACTTTGAACTTGTAAATACTAGATAATACGAGTTTTTTTAATTATATATTTTATTGAAATTGTTTGATTTATTTATATTAAAAAAATGTTATCATGAATATTTGAATATAAAATTTAAACTACAGCTTTTTTGTCATAATAAATATGGTACTATTATTTGCTTATTAAATGAAACTTTTATTATATGTGAATTAATAAATTTAACTGATAATATCTGATTATATATATATATTAAAAATTATACTAAAATTAATGGATATAATCTTCATTTAAATTATTATGACTTTAATAGAATGAGATCATAAAAAAAATTTCATAAAAATTTAATAAATATTACAAAGGATAACAAAAGAACACAAATTAAATATATTATAGACCTATTTTTTTTATATAAACACCTTTCGTATGGAAGTGATTTGTAAGTTTATCAAATTTATAGATAAAACTTTCTTTTGTACATTAGCCACTGATTACAATGTAAAGTAAACCGTTCACATAATGAGCATTTGTTTGCGTATTACATGCATGTTATTTACACTAATATATTATTGATTAATTACATTAATCAATACATAGAAAAAAAATGATGTGTAAAAATACGTAGATTGTAATTACCTTTTTATTTGCGTGGACTCCTACTGTCACCTCCTTACTCCAGTCCGATCTTATCTCATGACGTATAGATTCCCTATTGAACTCCATATTGATAACATTGCCTCTCGGGCTCGTCAACATGCCGGGTATCAGTGAATATCTCTGGTTCCTGCTTATCCCACTATCCGAAATAAACGGTATTCGGGGACTCGTAGCCCCGCGCACGGGACTATTTCCCGGACTGCGGTTGTAACTAGAGAAATCTTGCAGCATAAGGGACTGTTGTGGACTGAGCGAACTGTTCAGTACACGGGAGTGTCGTGGGCTCCACATCGTCTCGGACACGGGGCTACTGGGGGATAAGCGGCCAAGATTCGGGACAAGAGAACCCCGAGGATTACTGTTTACAACATACTCGGGCACAAGGGAGTCACATGAGCAGCTACGATTCCTATCCATGCGTGAAGCCAGCGAAATTGAGACGCACTGTTTTGGGTCGGGGAGCAATCTCCGGGTGAATGTCTGTAACTACACGCCGATCACGTTACTTAGTCTTTACGATATTACCGACAATAAATTTATTAATATTATCACAAAAGTGAATAGAATCGGTATTCGATGCCTTCAAATAATCATTATTTGAGTGTCATTATTTAATTTATCGTCTTTAAATATTTTATAATATTTTATACGTATGCCTATTGACTGGATAATTGATACTATAGTAATTGAAGACGTATTATAGTTTCATTTATTAGAATCGAAATTTAATTATTAAAAAAATTGTGGGCGAAATGCATGCTTAATAAAATATTAATTGTTAAAGTATTAATAAAACTGAAAAAATAATACAGTACATTTTTTATTATTTGAATATTTCGATGTAAACTTCTCTTAATTTAAAAATATTAACCTTTATTAAAAATATGATTGAAAACAATATTAAGAGTAAAAAAAAATTATAAATAAAATAATGAATAGAGTTCCGTATACAATGAGCATAGTTTTAATAAAAAGCATTGAAAATAAAAGAATTGATGAAAACTTTAAAAGATGATTAATTTGAATGCATACAGGTGTCGCAAGTACAATTGACATTTCCGTCTTATATTTGCTGAAATAAATTTCGCGTGTTATTAATTCATCGAGAAAGCATTATTATATATCAAGCATATTTGTAGTTTAATGTATTAGTATAGTTTACAGTTATGTTTCTGATAATAACTTTGATAAATTTATTTTTATTGTTAAAAAAAAAGGACTAAAGCTATTTTCTCATATATTTACATTCATTACAATGTAGGCTCTTTTATGATAAAATAAAATCACAAATATTGTTCCCCTTTCTTAATTGTTCTATGAATATTTTTAAGAGAAAATTATATGTTTGAAATTTAGATTAAAGTAAAAAAAATTCGTGCATTTCGCAATATGACATACATTAAAAAGTCGTTCTTTAAATTAAATTTTTCGAGATTATTATTTATTGATATATTTTCAGTATTATTGTAAATTAAAATAAAGGTCGTCAGGTTTACTTTAAATTTAACATATAGTTGTAAATGTTTTCTTCCGTTCTTTGTTTAAATAGAAATTTTGACGTCTCTTATTTACAGTCTTATACTTAATTCGCTCTTATGCAGATAATAAAATCTATCTTTTATTTTATTATTTATTATATACTTTTACTTTATTATATACTCTGACTGTATTAATTCCATTATTTATTATTCCCTCGATTATTGTTATATTTTGAATATTTTAAATATTAACGTTTGTTGCATTAACTTTCAAAAAATGATTATACATAGAGAAATATCAATTATATATAAAATAAAATTAAAAATTTTATGAATTTTATTCATATATAATAGCATAAAATAATTAATCCGTTATTTTCAAATAAATTACGAAGAGTTTTTTTATTTATATTGATAATACACGTATACCTTTTATTAAATAATTTTTGTTAGTATTTTAATATAAATATTTTACTAGTCACTCGAATATGATATTAACCTATATTTTGTAAAAAACGTAGTATATTTAACTTTAAAAAGTTAAGGCATCTCTCTTTCGAATACCTTCGATGATGATTCAAAATTGTAAAGACAAATCAAATCTTAATCCATCACCCTTAAAAACAATTTTAGATAAAATATTAACATTACTAAGTGATAAATATAGCAGTTACATTTGGGCTATTTCACAATAAAATTTAAAAAATTCGTCGAATAATATATATTTTCTTAATATTCCACGTATAGAATTCTTTCTTATTCAAATAAATTAATTTCTCCTTTGCCTGATTTTTGTTTATAATTATAACTAATATACGTAATTTTTAACAAAACACTATGCAATATGTACCTCTATATTATTAGATATATATTTTTCTCTAATTAAAAAAGCAAAATAGCAAGAATATTATTTTATAGGTTTTATGATCAAATAAATACTTTTCGAATTAATTTAAAAACTTAACTACATCAGAAAAATATTATTTATTTTATAATTTATTATTTATGAAAACATAATATCAAAGCCTATAGGCTTAACTCTAAAATAAAATGAAACTGAATAAAGAAGGATAAACTTACATCTGCGTCGCTCTCATCTTTGAAAATGATGTTGGGTACGTATCTTCCACAAGATGATGTTTGCCTATCCATTCCAGAAATTTCAATAAAAGGGCCAAGATATTCGATTGCTAAAGTTCTGGAAAATAGATTCACTGGAAGCTAACGAAGCCCGCCTTCTCCGAGGCTGACGCTTGACATGCAGTAAGAATGAACGTTGTTTCAGCCGTTGTTGCTGTTGTTGCACATGCTATTAAAATTGATTCGGCTAATGTTATGATTGTTGTTTTTACTACTGTTGTTTTTGTAACTATTAAGATGAATTATTATTCTCCTAATGGCACGTTATACCGCTCCTGAATTGTTTTTTACAAAACATAATTGCGAGTACTTTAATTATGACTATTAATAAATAGTATTATTTATGGGAAACTTTTGTTTAAGTTTTCGAAATATTCATTTTTTAATATGTTTAAATAAAGATATTGCAAGACTATAACTTAAATTAAATAATTAAATAACTTAAATAATATAATTCTAATAGCCTAAAATTTATCATATATATATAATATATACATAACATTTGTTATGAAATACAACATTGAATAATTAATATTGATTTTTATGTACTTCTCTGTCTTATATTTTATCGTTATAAAAGTGGAAAATTATTATTAAAAAGTCAAATGTATTTGAGATTTTATTTCAAATTATAACTAAGTGTTTATTTATTCATTTCAGAATATTTAGTCAAAGTATGTATTATTCTTTTTTATATAATGAATTTTTTGCGGCTAACTATTTTAAAATATACTCTTTTATGATAAATGATATACTTTTATTATCTACGTTATACGAATTTAAGATGAATTTTTGGTATTTTCAATTTTTAATCAATCAGTTTTTAATAAAATTAACTTAAATGTATGAAATATAAATTAAGATACACTTTTATTTACTTAATCATGTAGTTACTAGTTACAATAATTCTCAAAAACAGCTAAAATAGTACGTAAAAGAATAATTTAATAAAAATCTCCTAAAACTGATATAAAATTAATAAAACTACCGATTCCTTCCTAATAAATTTCACTTCCTCTGTATAAAGTAGGCAATATGAACGTATCGGATATTTCAATAAGAAAGCACTTTTCAGTTAAATATAATTGTGTAGAAATTAATTAATAATCTATCTGAATACATTACATTTATTAGATTAGATTTTTATAAATTATCATTCTTATTTTCAATAGTACAATAGTTTTAGCCTTATCCGATATTTTTAGTACTCTTGAATATGTAAGGAATTATAACTGACAGAGTTCTAGACTTATTCGTATACACTATTCCAATCACTTGCTTTACACATCCTTGCCAACTGTGAATACGTATATAATACAGAAGAAGTATTATTTGTATTTTCGTAATATCAATACTATTTATTATTCAACTGTTAATTGCTATTAAGTTATCTATTGAAAATTTTAACTTGTATAAGATTTTAATCTAATTTATAAAAAATAATTAATTTCTTCGGCCTATAATTTGAGGCACTTAAATTGAGTTGTTCTTCTATTTATAAAGATGTCTATAATCTATGTGTTTGTACGTTTGTATAAATTGATATTCTAATAATAAATTAGAATATTGATAAAGTAGTATAACTATTTTGAATGGCAAGGAATAATATACGTATATTAATTGACGTCTCCATTCCAATCTCCATACTTAATTGAAAACATTTTTTCTTAATATTTTCACTTAAAGTATGATTTTAAAATTGATAAATCTTACGATTATTTATAAAGTTATAAAAATAAATATATTTCAATAACACTTTAAACAAACAAAATTAGTACAAAATTTTTCTGTATTCAATCATAAATTAAGAAATTTAATATTAACATTCTATAAATAATTTTTATTTTTTTTTAACAAAATACTTTTAACAATAATTATTTCAACTATATTTAAGATATAAAAAAAATGGGTGAAATACATACTTATAGATATATCATATTGTAGATTTAGTAAAATTAATACAGAAATTAATATTAATCACATTGTAATTATATAAAGGCTGTGAAATTAGCAGAATTTCAGTAGAAAAACTGTATTATACTAATATAGTACATTATTTCAGGAATTAATTAAACAGAAATTAACATAAATATACGTGACTGATTAAAAAAAAATATATAGGCTTGAAATAATTTTATAAGAGCTATAAATATAAATATTCATAATAAATTTTAAATAATAAGAAAATAAAATATCGAAATCAGTCAATCAATCAATATCCTAATTTATTTTTTATCTATAGATTCTTAAACATTAACAAAAAAAAATTACTTTAATGTCTAGCAACTGTTGCGTAACATAAATATGAATTTGCAAAAATTTAATCCAATGAAGTACTTTAAAGATATAGTTGACTTTATATGTTAAAAAACTAATCGAAATTACTTTCTAATAGTATCTTACAATAAATAAATTATAACAATATTTTAGTTTCATTCATTATAGTGGGCCTATTACAATAAGTTCGTATTACGTATAAACAAACATATTATTTTTATTCTGAAGAAATATGAATAAAACATATATTAATAACTCTAGAATTATGATTTTCTATTACGTTTAAATTATAAAAGAAAAATTTCATTATTCAAATAAAATAATTGCAGCTAAATTTCTGCTTAAGTAAATAATTAAATTTAATATAAAATATATTAAAATTTTTAAATGTATTTCTTAATTCTAACGTACTTTTATATGACATATAAAATAATTCTAAGTTTCATATCAATAATTTCAAAATTTGCTCAACTTGCAATTATATTTGGTCTTAAACTTTCAGATACTTCATTGCTCATGTTGATACAATTGATTTTATGGCATCTTTAATCTACGTATATATTATAATCTTCACATTTTTTTATTTAAAATATAATACATTTTATGAATTAATAACCATTTAAGAGAAATTATTAAAATACAATTAATAAATTTTAATAAATATAAAATAAAAATTATATTTATTATTTAGAGAAAGAACACTATTTATTCTTTATTCTAAATTTTAATTATTATTAAAAATAATATTAAATGGTGAAATATTGTTCATCTATTTTTATTTAAAGTATACACAATATGAAGATTTTAAACATATTTAAATTATCAAATTAATTGATTAATTTATAACAATATATTTGGCCAAATATATTCTTATATTCAAAACTTATAAATTTAAATAACACTTGATTACATTGAATGCAAATTAATATATATTTTATATATGAAATACAATATTCATGATCATTTCAATTTAAATAAAAACGAATTAAAATTTGAAAATTTAAAAAGAACATCATTAAATATTTCTGTATGTTAGACTATAAACTATTTTATGAATAAATTTATGCTTAACAATTAAACAAGACAGAAATATAAAACTTAAATAATGGTAACTTTAATCAAATAATAGTTTTTCTTTCGAATTATTTAATTATATATGCGTAAATTGTACCACCTATATAGAACTTTAAAGAATTTACAATGCCCATACAATTTGATTTATAAAAAAATAAAAGTTTTATTTTTTTCAATCAAAATAAAATAATTTTATAAATAATACCTAAGAACTTCTAAAATACAAAATATAATTGAAAAAATTAAAATAGATCTTCAAAGTTATTTTAATTGAATTATTACAATTTAAAAAGAAAGCTTAAAAGCAGAATTATAACATTATAATCATTACCATTAAAATACATTTAAAAACGTTATGAAAGTTAATTATCTTACCTCTAAAAATATGATTGGTATACTGTTAGAAATGAAGTGATGTATATTAATATTAAAGGAATCATGAAACTAATTTTAAAGATGAACAATTACTAAAAAATTGTATTTTGTAACTAGTAATTTTTCGTTACTATACTTAATAAGCCATTTTTACCAGTGAAATACTCGGCGTTCCTTCAATATAAGGAAGATTTATTTCCATCCAATATTTTCATCTTGTTCCCATATTATACTGTCATTTACTTTATAATGCTGCTATTATTTTAGCAATTTTATCGTTGGTTATGATTTGAATATTTTTTGTATAATACTAATTAATTGGATAACAAAATTTTTTAACGATTTAATTTGGAAAAAACTACCATTAATAATATAAAATTTATATGTATACAGATATTTTTATATAAATGTACTTCATTTCAATTGATGTGAAAATTATATGTTTTGTGTGAATTGCAATATGACATATATCTTCAGAATCGCGTAAAAGCGGATAAAAAATAGTATAAATCACGATCAAAATTTGTAAATTATGTAAAAATATGAAAAAGAATAACTAATAATATTAACAGTTTGAAAATTTATGGTTGGTTATAATTAGATAGACCAAGTATGGAGAACAAACGGTGCTGAAAATTTTTGAAATTTATCATTCATTTCTTTGTTTACTTAAAAAATGGAAAATTATTGTAGTTATGATTATACAAATTCTAACTTAGAGATCTTTTTTTATTTCCCTTTCATTCTCTTCTCAATAATCTACATAGAATAATGGAAAATAAATCTAAAAATTAATATTTAAATTACGTTATTATTAAGAATATATTATTTGCAATTATGAGAAATTTTCTAAATTATAAATACTAAAATGTACTTAATATAGGCTCATAATAAGATAAAAACAATGTTACTAATTAAACTACAACATTTTATAAAAAAAACATTCATTTTCTTTTAAAATTTTCATTTATCTAAATAAATTTATATACATCTTAAAAATAGTATGGTAATAATTAGTATGAATTAAAAAATAATTCATTAAACTGAATCTGAGTAATAGTAGAATTACTTACATTTCAATATACTTATATAAAATTATCGAAACATACACGAAAAATTTACAATTTAAACAATTTCATTACGTCGAAAAATAGACCTTAAAAATAATTGAAGCTACATTAAGAAATTATCAAGAAAATCAGTTTAGAAATAGATTTCCATATAATGTATTTCTGTTTATTAATATTAAAACTTTATTAAATATAACTCACGTTTCTAATATTTTT